TTGATCCCTGCAGCTTTGTGCGCATTCCCCCTCCGCAGAGCCTCCACGGCAGGTGCCTATACTGTGGCAGGTGGGTCATCTGGAGACAGAGGGATCTGGGACCCTCTGTAGAGCTGGACCCGACAGCCTAGGTCAAGGGAGGAGGTAGGGGAGCCCGGGCCGCCAGGCTCTTTGGTGAGATCATCACATTGCCTCCCCCCGCCCCCAGACGGAATGTGGCTTTGCTCATTGGGCCTCATGTAGGTACACACATGTACGTGCCCACTAGGGCATGCACACATTACACATTTCTTTGGTGGGGTCATTGCGAAACTGAGATAGAGCTCTCCCAGTTCACAGCAACCCAGGTGCAACCTGGGAAAAACTGAGGTTGGTCCTAGACCCCAAGTTGTAGTTGGACCCGGGGTCACCAAGGGGTAGGGCCACACAGCTATTGCTGTGTGTTAGAAAAAAGAGTAGCTGGGAATTTTTCACATGTGTACCCCCAAATAATCGATGGTCTGGGTTGACCCAGGCAGCAATACTTTTTTCACAGCTCCCTGTTGATTATTTTGTGAAACCAGAGCCCTTTGGGTACCAGACAGACCTGACTCCCCACATCTGATAACCTACTGGATGGGGAGCAGCAGAACTGAAGACTGAGCTGCTCAGACCCAGCTCCACCGCCAGCAAAACGATTCTCCATCCCACCATTTGAGTAGCATTGGATAATTATTCCTTGCTTCCTCTCCACAGAAGTCTTTGCTTTCTTCTCCCTCCTTGAGAGGCATTGCTCTCATCCCTGTCACAAATCTCTGGGCCCAAGAGATATGTCTCCTGCCCCCACCCCCACCAGTGTGTGGGCTGTGAGACAGCAGTGGGCCTATATAAACAAGACCCGCATACAGGCAGGCCCTCCCTAAGGGGGCCAGCTCTGCAAAGGAGATGACAGGCAGTGGAGCAGAGAGCACGGATTTATTTTCAACCGAGAATCAAAAAATGTGTTTGGTAAACTGGATCCCTCCCCTGGATGTGGGTCTGAAAGACAAACTCACAGATAACTTGTCTTCCCATCCCAAGATTATGTGATGGGGTGACCACTGTGAGCAGTTTCACACTCTGAAATGAGGTTTTAATTTTCAGCAAGATCTAATTAGTCATGACCACAGCCTGTTCTTTTTTCTGCCTGTTTGCGTATGCCTTCAGGGTCAGTAGCTGGCTACAAATACCCACTAGATCTGAAGCACCCAAATTACCATAAGGGCTGAGCTAATATCCTGCTGTAGATGCTATCACAGACAGAAAGAAAGCTGAAGAGAGGCACTGGCAGGGCCTGGCACCGAGCCCTGCTTATTGAGAGCCGCTGTTAGGTCGAAACTCTGTGCTTTAAAATCAACCTTGGCCTCAAGATTCATAGAAAATTTGAATTGGGGTGAAGCAGGAACCCCCCAAAAGATGGCCCAGGTATTTTTAGCTTCCTTCTTTGTGCAGGACAGTGTGGCACAGGATATAGGGTGGAACTAGATGGCTTGCTTGCATAGTTAATAACCAGGGTAACAGTTGTCATTTATTAAGTCGGTATGTTTTACACACTTTATTTCATTTATTCACCCAAACAATCAGTATGAAAATAACTGAGTTACCGATTAAGACATTTGTCCAAGGTCACTTAGAGAGCAGTAAGTGGTAGAAAAAAAATTCAAATCAAATATGTCAGGATCCAGAGCTCACACCCTTAACCACTGTGCTGTAAGCTGTCTGCGTACTGGGCATGGAGTTTTAGCCATTTGTGCCACAGTGGCCGGAACAATGTCCCGGCATTGCAGCCGAGGCAGCAAAGGCCAGCAGCGTTCTGCTTTCTTGGGACTCTGACTTCCCCAGTGAAGGTTAACTTCTAAAGCAGCATTTACCTGTAAAGCCATTGCTTCACACATGATCCACAAGCCAGGGTGACCCACCAGCTGTGACCTGTGAGCCGTGGAAATAGTTGGGAAAAAGGATCTAAATAATAATAGTATTTTATGACATGAAAATTAGATGGAAGCAAAGTGCAGTGACCAAAAATGAAGTTTTATTGGAACTGAGCCATACTCATTTATTTACATATTATCGTTACATCCCCGGCACTTTGATGCCACAACAGCAGACTTGCAGCAGACACTGTGTGTGGCTTACAAGACACTGCTTTCTGGCTCTTTATAGGAAAAGCTTGCCTGTCCCTACCAGAAAGAAAGATGGGGTAATTTAGCCAAGCCAACAGTGTGGGCCAAAGGGTTTACCCTGCCGTTTTGGTTTTGTTTTTCAGTAATTCCCTAGAGAAACTGTATTGTGTCATGCAGGCCACTTACTAACAAAGTGTAAGCAGGGACTCCTTCCTGCCTCCCAAGTGGTGAGAGGTAAGGCAGCTCAGGCGAGGCCCGTGCTGGGCCCCAACTAGCCTGGCCGGGCTCTGCGAGCTCAGAGCTCTGGGTACACATTCCTCATCAGAGGTCAGAAGCAACACTCAAGGAAAGATGTACTTAAGTTTATGTAGCCAAGGTGCCTCAGACTGTGCTAAACTGGAAATCCAGGAATTAAGAAAGCTGAGGTCCAGAGAGTTGAAATGGTAAAGCTTTGTTAGATCTCCAGACTTACCCAGAGCATTCACATGTTCTTATTTATGTTATTCTCTAACGCCAAGTGAATATCAGATAACACTGTTCATTTCCTCCTCTCTTATGAGAGTCAAGTTTATGAGGCTTTCCCCTCCTTGATTTCTACATTCCACTTCTTGTACTTTTGACACTCCCTTAAGATGTTGATTGTAGCATGTTGCAGCTGGGAAATTGCCTTGTCCAATTTTTTTTTTCCCAAAGAATTGAGTTCTTAATGTGGAAATAAATCATCAAGGCTCAATGAGTTGTTTGTACTTTTTTTGAAAGGGCAGTTCAGTTGATTTCATGAGCTGCTAGCAGTGAAATGCAATTCATTGCCTTCTATAGCTTTTTCCCACCTGGGGATGCCTGTTGTGGAAACACAGCTTTCAGAGTCTCTGGTGCCTAGGCCGCAGGCCCCAGGTTGGGGTATTGGGGAGCAAGTGGAAAGGTGGTGGCAGCATTGTGGTGCCATGGAGGTGGATTTTTCTAAAAATCTACCTGAAATGATTGCTAAGCACTTGGTTCTCAAGGCTGCAGGGACTGAAGAAGGAAGGGGCAGCCAGAACCGCAGTGACTGGGTTGGAGGTGGGAGAGACAGTGTCAAAGAACTGAAACTTTATTTTGGTATTTTATGGATTAAAATCTTAATAAGCATGTAGATTATCCTAGAATTATTTTAAAAACAAGTAGGCACTCAGTGGGAGCAGGAGTACTTGGCATCACAAAGCCCATGATGGGTGTCAATACCTGTCACCTCCTGTGGGCCCCAGAGACCCTGCTGAATGAGGCCTAGAGAGGATTCTTCTTCCTTGGGTATAAAAATGTAAAGCGAAGTAGTTTGCCTACAGCAATACAGATTGCTCTTGACCGTGACAGTGCTGGAACTCCAGCTTCTGGACTCCTAGGGTCTTGTTTCATCCCCAGCCACCTCGATAATGAAAGAGTGAGCTTTGGAGTCAAGCATGTAGCTTTTCCATTTAATTTCTGGGCACCCCAAACTGCCTACAGAGTTCTTTCCTCATTTCTGGACAGAAGGATGACTGTGTCTCCGACTCATGAGGTGTGAGTGAGGCCAAGGGAGTGCGAGCCTTCAGTGCGGCATCTCCACAGTACAGGTGTTCCATGAGGTTTTCTTTTGTTCCTTTGGTACAAATTTTTACACATCTGTGATTACACACATCTACGTATGTATTTGTATAATTTAACCTACATCTTCCTTGAGATGGATGAAACAAAAATTCTATATTTTTCAAGGTACAATTAGATCCCCTCAATGGTTAAGAGCAGAGCCGGAACTTGACCTGAATAGGCCTCACACCTGAACCCGGTGTCCCCTTTACTGAGGGGTATCACCCCCACAGGGGTCCTGTGAGTTTGAATAATTAATCAAAGGACATCTAGATGCACGGAATAGATGTGGGTGTAGACTTTTAAGCCTTTACGGTGAAGATGTATCTACCCCCTGGCCTATGTCTCTCTTGCTCCCGGCAGGGCCCACATGTAAACTGTACCCTATTTGGGGCCCCACCAGGATTTTCCATGCCTGTCAGCATACCTGGTCACACTGAGACTCAGAAGCCCTTGCCAGGTGTGGGGCTAATCTTTCCCTTTGTTTTGCAAGTTGGGCAACACTGTGCAGTGTTCCAAGATGACAGAACTGATAGAAATGAATCTCCCCCTGCGAAGTACCTACTTACCACCATCCCCTAAAGCTGCCGATAAGGTCTCCTGGTATCCCGCAGAAACTATCAGTGGGGAGCTTGGAGGGAGAATGGAATCTATCCCCTTGGTTCACTGTGCCTCACAGCTCTGTGGTGCTGAATCCACAAGCTCCGGGCTTAGTGGTGGAGCTGAGACATGGAGCCCAGCTGTCAAGCATGTTGGCCAATTCTGTCACAGGCCCCAGGAAAAGGAATTTAAATCTTCTTGTGTGAAACTGAGTTCTGCCCCACCCCTGAGCTGTAACTCTCCCTTTAACTCTTAGTGATCACCCCGCCCCCACCAAATCTCTCTGAATTTCTTCTCTGTGTCCTCACTCGTCCACTTTGACATTCTTCCCAATTTCTCTAGACTAGAGGTGAGTTCAAAGGTAGTTACCTATTCAGCAGAATGGAAGCATCTACCATGCGGAACCTGCAGCCTGCATAGAGACGGTGCATTATTGCTAATGATGCTACATCAAAAGTTGGAGGAGCGATGCTTTTCCTAAATAATAATGTCACTAACATAGGAAATAGGAAGATTCAGGGGCTTCTATCTCAGGGAGAGGGGGGTAGCAGTGGCTCGCGTCCACATGCTGTCTCGGGAACCCCGCTCACTGCTGCCTCGGGCGGGAGGGCAGAATTGGCGATGGTGCTCTCACTCACCCTCTCTCTGTCCCCACAGGTGTTAACAGAACTGAAATCCGACAACCAGAGGCTGAAAGATGAAAATGGTGCCCTCATCCGAGTCATCAGCAAACTCTCCAAGTAGACTAGGCCCTGAATTTAGGAGGGGAAGGACGGCCCTTGCTGGCCCCACCCCACTTTTCCAGCCATTGCCTTCCAACCAAAAGAAGTGAATATTTTGGTGGAAGGGCTCTTCTCTCTGCCCCTCCTCCAGTCCATCTGCACTGTACATTTCCTCTGCCCTCTCAATGCCCTGTTCCTCCCGCCCCCTGAGTTTTATGACAGTTTTAATTGAAGCATGATTGTGATAATTTGAGCCATTTTGAGCCATCTGGAGAAGGCCTCCGGGAGTACACCAGGGTCAGCTGTGGCCCCCCAACTTCCTGCTGGTCAGCTACTTGTCTACGTTGGATTTGGTCCAAACATGTGAGGCCTCGACCCAAACCCGTACCCCACAGCCTTTCCCTGACCCAGTGTCCTCTGACACAGATGAGTCTTATGGTGGCCACTCCAGGATCCTGTCTGGAATGCTAGGAGAAGCAGGAGTGTTGGAATAATCATCGACAGCCTCTGGGGCTGTTTCTGTTTGATTCCAAGGTGACAGCGACTCTGCGTTGAGGGTCTCTGCCTGTCTTCCCCTCTCAGGAGCTGACTTTTCTGTAACTTCTGGTGGTGACGTTTGTTCTAGCAACAACCAGTGACATCCCCCACTAGTCTTACCCCCTGTTCCTCATGCCTCGCCCTCTCTTTCATTTGTTCCTTTCCTTTCTATCCTTTTCCTTTCCTCCACCCATTTCACCCCATGCTTCAAGGACTAGAACAGGTCACCTGACTTCATTGTCTTTGGCTATTGTGGTAACTCTCTCTCCCTGGGGCCTCTGGAGACTAGAACATCGTCTTGTGGCAGCACCACTGCCTGCCCCCTGGAAGCAAGGCTGTGACAGCGCGGTTGCCATCTTTCTCATGTTGCCCCCCCAGCTCACTTTCCTTATTGAGAAGTCGGGGCTTTAAACAGCCCGTCTGTGGCACCTCCTTTGGCCTCATTTTCCTCTCTCCTCTCTGGCACCTGCTCCTCATGAGAAGCAGAGTCCACACAGGGAGGCAGGTGAGGTGGGCGGGTAGGTGATGGGATATGGACAGGGAGTGGGCGCAGGTGAGAGACATGGTGTAAGCAGGACAGCCGAGTGCACCCCCCACCCATGTGGCAAAGGCAAAGTCCACTGGACTGTGAGAACATGCTGGATTTAATTATTTCTGGTAGTTAGAGTCAGGGGAGAGACTTGCTTTTAGAAGCCATCGGGGGAAATGACTTCTTAATAGAGGACTTAAGGGGATGAGATACTTCAACCCCTTGATGAGAGTCACAGCATCTGAGAGTGACGAGGTAAATTGCCGTTTTCCTGCCGTGTGTCACAGGGACACCCACCCACTCCAACCTCCCTCCCGGCTTTGGTCTGTGATCAGGTACTGCGGGGGCCTGCGCAGCTCAGAGGCTAAGAGAACCTGAAAGATTTTCCTGCTAAGAGCTGGGTCTGCCTGTGATTCTCCCACGGTCCAGTTGTGCCCTTTCCTGTGACGGCCTCAGATACATGAGTCAGTGATGGCCCTAGTCTGGCTGCTGGCTCACGTCAGCTAGTCCTCCAAGCCGCCTCTCCTGTGGGACACTCTTCCTGCCATCACAGCTTAGAGACAAAAAAAAACCTTAAAATACATGCCTAGGCCTGGACACATTGCTCCATTAGTCCTGTGCAAAATTAAACCATTAATTAGTTCTTGATGATTATCCAATATTAATACTAAAGGTTTCTTCTTTTTATAGAAGTCGTATTCCTTGGTTGGCTTATTGCAAGTGTGTCGGTCACTTAATCTTCATTTTTTTAGGGTTCCCAATGACATTCAGTGTTTGGTGCTGTCCATTCTCTTAACATAAACTACCTCTGTCCATTTTTTTCTTTGCAGAAAATGACAGTGTAGTTCTTTCTACAAGGCCTTCTGAAACATCACATGCTCTTTAAATCAGAAACTATAATTCAAGATCCCAACTCCAGAGTGGGAAATGTCTCCTCTGGCAAAAATCCCATTTTTAGAATGTACAAAGTTCTCTATTTCCAGCCATTTTTGATAGAGAAGCTACTGGAGAATCATTATTTCGGGTTTTGGATCGTCGTGGGAACATATGAGTGTAGTAAGATGTTTCATCTCCCTCTCCCCACAAGCATCCCTTCATTCTTGGGAGAGGCAAGAGCATCACAAGATGCTGGCTCTCCTGGCGCATCCTGGGTATTGGTGACTGGGGTGGGGAGATGCTACCTCTTTCTCAGAGAAAGGAATTTGGATTATTAGGAAAAAATCTTGACCTTCTCCCATTAGACTAAGTAAAGGGTTTCCAGAGAGTTCTCTCAGCTCTGTGTGTACCTTTCACAAGGGTGGGACGGGGTCTCAGAGCTCTTGGACTGATGTTATACCCACGCTGCCTCTCACAGCCCTTTCATGGTAATTATGCCTTTTCTTGCCAGAAAGTTTTCCTTGTGATGAGACATTTACAAGCTTTTCAATCTCAGGAATACTGGGTCCCATGGCCAAGAACTCATGAAAGTATAAACCATCCGAGGTAATTTCATGCACTCCCTCTTCTGCAATTAATCTTATCAGACAGATCAACTCTGAATTCTGGTCTCTTTCCAGATAAAATACTCTTTCTTCTCAGCTGTCCTGATGAGCCCAAGAGGCGGTGGTTGCAGGGCCTGACAGCCGCCGTGATGCTGGCGCTGAGCTGGGCAGGTCTCTCCTGGCTGCTGCCTGCTGCTGGGCTCTTCAGGGACCACAGCCCTCAGTCCTCACCCCCACTTCCCAGCCCAGCCGATGAATCACTGCAGGGCTGGCCAGTGATATGGGGCTCGGGTGTATCACTTCACAGTCTTCACATGAAATACCAGAATGGGAAAGTGGGGGTTCTCGGTTCAACTTTACACGCTCTGTTCTCATTAGTTTGATATTTTCCAAAACCAAGCCACACCTTTGGGACTAATGATCTGGCCATTTCAGAGATTCTCTGGCTGAAGTTTTGCTTCTTTGCCTATTTGTCTTTCAAGGGCATCCTTTTCCAGATTGCTCTAGGCATGAGAATCTGTCACCCCCACCCCGTCACCAGTGCCGCAGGGCTGAGCGAATCTCAGGTCCTTAGAGAACCCACCGAACAGAATTGCCTGGGTGTGCTTGGGACACGGAACTCTCTAGTGGACAGTCTCATCTGGTATTTCTAGAACTACCTGTCTTTTCTCCAACTGCAGGATGAGTTTCGGGCTTTCCCTGTTTTCTCCATCTCCCACCCTGTGTTCGAGACCCAGATGGATTTACTGCTCTCCGAGGCTACTGGTACAGTGACTGCAGATCTCTGTTTTGGATCACTTCACCCACTTCCCTCAGCCTAAGCAAAACATGCTTATTAGCAATTCTACTCAGGCTGCAGGGAGGCTGAAACCCCACTAGTTAGCTACATGTGAATCCCACAAAATCTGTGTGAACTGTTGTTTCTCTAGCGGGCTTTTAATTGAGCCAGAGATGAAAACAGATGAAGCCCTCAAAGCCGTGCACTTGGTCAGTGTCTGGTTCTCTAGCCCAGTGTGGGCTACTGACTTGGGAGAAGGCCCCACCAGCATCGGCATTCCTGGGGAGGAGGCCAGAGTAGGAAAAGCACAATGAGAGGACGAAAGCTCGGGCAGCTATTCAGCTGCCTGGCTGCATTGTACCCCAAAAAGGAAAGCCTAAAGGATTCAGTACCTACACCAATAAGAAGGGGGGATTCTTAATCCCACCCCCTAGGTGAGCCTCTGGTTCTGTCCAAAATTAACAACGAGGTAACAACACGTGGGCCCTGGGGGCCTTCCCTCGGCCATTACCAGGCCCATTGTCTATGCCCGCACTGTACCCAGCTCAGTCATGGAGGTCCCTGCCCAGACCCAGGTCCAATTATAACTGTAGACGTTGGTCTCCCTATTGATTTTTAAGGCAGATTTTGACCCCTCAGAGGACATGTATTCCCTCTGACCCAGTAAACAAGATAGCTTTCATGGCAGAATAAGGCAGCTTGAGAGGATAAGGCCCTCGAAGTTAGAACATCTAGGTCCCAGGACTGTCTCTTATCCTTATTAGCTCTGTGACCTTGGGAAAGTCACCTGTCCTGTCTGTGAAGTGAGGTGGGACTGGATAATTCTTACAAATCCCTTTTGGCTTAAAGTGATTTAAATCTGCAATTCCTAGGAAGATCAGGACATTTCTTAAACTCTGAATTTTTGCTCTAACTTCAAATATTCTGTTTTCTTCTGGATTCAAACTGTTTAACATCAGCGTGTCAAGGTTGACTTCCCATCCTTACTGGAGAGTGAATTCAATATTGAGGGTAATTGAATGGTGTTGCAATTGCTTTCTCTCCTAATGGCTTGGTAAGAATATTAAAACCTGCAGAGGTGGAAATTGGAGCTCGTAGGGAAATGGATAGAAAGCAATTTGTTGCAGGCAGCCTTTGGACAAATTGTTCTAATAGGAAATAGAGCTGCAGCTTCATAGGTTTCTTCAACTGCCTTTCCTCAGCCTTCTCAAATGTGGTCTGTGTGGCTCTTGCCATCCACACAGCAGACTAATTGCATTTCTGCTTAGTACCAGCCGGCTCATAGTCTTAAAGCAGCAAGAGAAGGTTCCTCAAGTAAAACCTCAACCTTTAGTTCCATTGAGCTCTTCCTCTGGATTCTGGACTATCAGAATAGTAGGTTCCAGTGCTGTTCAGGATGGTCTTTCCTATAAAGCAGGCCTGCAGAGGACTTACCCATGCAGACTCAGAAACCCCAAGTCCATGGCAGTGCCGCATAGAACAGCACTGGGCTCTCGCGAGACTCCTGCAGGTCAGGTGTGCGTGGAATGAAAGGGCTGTGGCCCTGGAAGTAGAGGGAGCCTGTGTGCTGTGGAGAAGAAGGCAGGTCAGGGCTCTGGATGGAGCAGAATGGAGGCCGGCACTGGGAGGGAGAGTCCCACTGCACAGGGAGGAAGTATAGGCTGTCTCACCCGCCTCTGCCTCCAGCAGAGCGGAGATTTAATCAGCTTCCCTAATGGGTATTGACACTACTGGGGAGCCATAGACCTTATCAAGGGCTGCTATTGATCGCTGGTGTTCTGATTAGATTGGAAAATAGATCAACTTCATTGCTGCCAGGAACTGTCACTGTCCCGGCTACCGGGGAGCGAGGTGGTCTCTGGGGGCTGAGAAAAACCACAGAGAGGCCCTTGACCAGCCGGCAGCTGTAGGTAAAGATGCGTTCACATCTCTGAGGGTTGTGGTTGAGGGTCAAAATTGAACCCAGAAATGACTTACACTCCTGTGTCCCAGAAGCCCTCAGGCTGCACGGTAAATAAGTGGGCATGTTTAAGGATGCACCGTTAATGAATGTTCTGACCGTACCTAAAAGGCTTAGCCACTGGGGATGACTCTTCTAACCTGCCTGACCCCCAGGCACACTTGCTCACACGGAGCTCTCAAAATGAAGTCTGGCATATTCTTGATTAACCAATTTTACCCGAGTGTTCTCTCCTGTTCCTCCCTATCCTTTGCTTTCCTCACTCCCTTCCAGTCCCCCAAAGGGCTCCTCTCTGAGCCATTCTCCAATTCATCTGTTTATCATTTCAGACTGTGAGTTTGCCAGAGTGATACTTTCTCTTACTTCTCCAGATTCTTCTCTACTGCTGCCAGCAAACTTTTTCTTGGGTGGCCCTTGAAGGTGACATCAGGATGTTCTGATGTCCTTCCAGAACAAACATACTGTTGCCCATTCCTCTCTTTTCATTTCCCTCCACATTCTTTATTCCTCCCTTTTCTCACTTGGAGGGGATGGTGCCTTAGAGAGGAGGTTTTCCATGTATCGGCTGAGACTCCTGGAGGACTTCACACGCCAGCCTCCCAGGCCCCCCACCCCACCCTGTCAGTTGCCGTGCTCTCTGCTGGGCGAATGGGCTCCCAGAGGCGAGTGGCTGGTGGGCCTGCCCGTTCTCCACAGCACTGCCAGGGAGGCCGCGGGTGGCTGTGTCTGTTTACTCAGTCTGCGTCATGAGAACTTTGCCCGCTTCAGCCTGAGACACAGTGTGTCTCAGGAGAAGCCTGCTCGGTGAGGCCATGCGGCCCGGCCCGGGATGGCACTCTGCCCTTTGCTGTCTTGCTGGAGAGGAGGACTGAGGAGGGAGGGAGCCGCTAGTGTCCTCACAACCAGACGGGCCCGAGGGACTGAGTGCTGCTCCTCATGTCTCTGACCTGCTGATGATGCACATTCTCCTGTGAAGAGGCAGGTAAGGAGAGGGCAGAGGACAGGCCTCAGCACAGAAGAGCCGGAGGCAGGCTGCAGGGTTGGGAGAGCTCTGGGAGACTGCAGCAATCGAAAATGCCCCCTTTTCTAGTCAGTGTCCCTTCAACTTTTAAAAGGATGGGCCCACCACCCGGCTGGCACCCCAAGTCGGTCCCTCATCTCCCTAAAGAAGAAAGGAGGCTGTTTTCCCCTTGGATTCCTCTCTGAGGGAAGACTGATTCAGACTCAGGCTTTGGCTTTCTGCCTTTCCTCCATTCCCTCCTCCTTGACCTTGAACAGAAGGACTGAGAAGAGCTTGTAAGAACCACCTTGGTGGAGGGGAGAGCACAAGGGACTGTGGTGATGGATCCCTGGTGCTGTGGTGGTGGAAGAACTGTGGGGACTACATCTGAGGGGAGAGATCAAATGCTGTCCAGAAATTAACAACGATGTGAGAAAATTAATAAAAATACTAAATTTTTTTTTTTTTTTTTTTTTTTTTTTTTTTTTTTTTCAAAAAACCAACCACCCTGGTGTCTCCAGGCCTCTCCCAGGTTAGGGATGGCGCTTCATGTCTCCTCACCCGCCACCCTCACTCTGTGACCTCCACACCGGAGCACACCAGATGTAACTGCTTTCCAGCAGGGTTGTGTGGATTAACTCGGTCCTTTGTACATACACCTGGGGTGGGATGGGGTTTAGGATGGGGAAGCCAGACTTGCTTTGTGAACTGAATGTATTTTTATGCAATTTTGAGTGGCCTTTCAACCCTGAGATGAATGGTTTTGTTTTCCCAGTTGTTATTATATAGTATTGTTAAGTATCCTGTGTTTGAAAGTTTGGGGATAATAATATTCACATCTATATGATGCCTGTAAACACAACAGTATTTATAAATGAGTAAATAAAACCGTGTTTTAAATTTGTGACTGTGTCTCCACAGTTTAGGAGACGACGGCTGTAGATCCCATGAGTCTTAGACCATCATCTTTGCCACTAGGGCCTCCTCCTGCCTCTTCCCCGGGACTGCCACACAGAGAGTCACCATCACCTAGAGCAGGGCCTCCAGAATCGGGTCAAGGAAAAGCCCACATCAGAGGCTTAGGAGAGGCCTAGATCAGGTGGCCCGGATCAGGTGGTTCCTTTGAAGACCGAGAGCAAGTCAATACAAGGTCCGGCCCGCTTCAGGGGTGCTACCGGGCTGCTGCAGGCCACTGGGGTGCTAGAGGCACTCACGGGGCCCCTGCTACCTACATCAGCCCCCACTGTTCATTCAGGGGAACCCAAGCACCTCCGCAGCTGCAAACTAAACAGGCTGAGAGGATGTCTGAGATGAGGGGCTCCCAGACTGCAAGCATCAGGTCTGGACCCCCACTGGCCACGGAGAGGCCTGCAGGGGGGCACAGTGCAACCTGGCGGCCAACAGATCCAGCACCCAGGAGCAGTGCCAGGAGGAAAATCACTCAACGAGGGAGGGTCTGGTTTCTCCTCCAGCAAGTCCTGCCTCTGGCTTTGCTCAGTCCTGGGTCTCACCAAGAGGAAGTCCCCTCACTGACTCCGCCTGGGTCCAGGGAGGGAAGATTCTTTTTCCCTGCTGTCACCAGCTGCTCGCAGCCCAGCAGCAGCAGCAGCAGCAGCAGAACAAACACACATGATGTCATGGTTGAGTTCAGACCTGTCCTGGCGCCCAAAACAGGCTGAGAGGATGTCTGAGATGAGGGGCTCCCAGACTGCAAGCGTCAGGTCTGGAACCCCACTGGCCACAGAGAGGCCTGCAGGGGGGGACAGTGCAACCTGGCGGCCAACAGATCCAGTGCCCAGAGAGCTCGCTGCACTGTTGGGAGCTCCTCGGCCAAGAAGGCCCTGGACTTTGCACTGTGCAGGCTCCTGCCCTGGCCTTGGGCAGCACCTGGCTGGCCCTGCTCCAGCCAGAGCTGTAGACCACATAGATGTCCTGGTTCTGCCTGATTCTCCCCGCCCTGTTTGGCCTGAGCTCTGAGGCTCCCACCCACCTGACCCCATAGAAGGGCTGACCTCAAACATGGCTGGAAGCTCCCAGCCTGCCAGGGGCCAGGCCACTTGGTGTCAACTCACAAAATGGCGGTGCCTTGCCTGTTCACCAGGAAGAGGCAGGTCGACAGATCAAGTGGGAACTGAAGAAGTTTAATCCTTCCTAAGCTTGGGGGGCAAGAAGCCTTGCTTTCTTGCCTTAAAAAGGATGTCCTGCCCTAGGTCCCTGACATCTTTGCCTCAGGAGGCAGACGTGACGTTCTTGGCCATGGGGCCATGGAGGACTTGGTAGAAATCTCACTCCCACTCCCAAGCTGAGCCTCCCCATCACTGGGCTCAGGCTGCCCATCCACGCCCAGCTCCATGGGAAGGGAATCCAGGCCCGACGGCCAGCCCCCCAGATCATGTTCCCCACACCACTGCCTCCCAGGTTGGGTGCCCAGCCTCCACCCCACACACAGGGCCCCAGTCTAGCTTCCCCAGAAGGGTGTGTGGCTCAGGCCCCAGTTGCCATCTGCCTTAGGAAGAGCCTGGACTGGAGGCCAGAGCCTCAGACCCTCTCCCCACCTCACCCACCATGCTGACCCTCATGGGAGACCCTGCCTGCCCCTCCCCTAGACCAGCAAAAACAACTAAGACACCCCCCACCCCCAGGTTTCTTTCAGCTCATTTCTTTAATAAGGAGACGCAGCTCATTACAAAATAACAGTTTGACGAGATCAGACAAGAACAACAGAGTCCACATGAGGGGGGTGGAGCATTGCCAAGCAGGGAGGGGGCAGGGCTCTATGCGTGTCCTTCCTGTGAAGACCAAGACCAGGGTTCCTGGTGCGGCCGCTGCAGGGGTGACCTGGGGCAGGGTTGGCCCGGCCCCGGTTTCGAAGGGTTCAGATCCAGGGATTTCAGAAAGCAGTAAATCAAGTCCTTAGATGGGGGAAGCCAGGGCACAACAGTCAGGATTCTCTGAAAAGGGACCTCCTGGGCCCCGCTGGCCGCAAGGGCTGGCTGCAGTCGCTCCACCTCACACACTGCCCCTCCCAGCTCTCTCCCCTCCGTTTCTGTCTGCCGTGGGTGTGGTGAGTGGGCTGGCCCCAGAGAGCTAAGAATCGAGATGCGCCTTCCCTCTGTCTTCCCCACCCTCTTCGTGTTCCTGGCGCAAAGATTGCCAGACATTTATGTGCTCACAAGCGCATTTGTGAAGGGCAGGCCCACCTTGCCTCCCTGGCCAGGTCTAACCCACCCTGCCTGATCCTCCTCATGCCGCGTCTCCTTCCTCACGCTCACGGCTTGTCGCCATGCCGAAGGCCAGGGTTACCCCATGTGCTATCTGCCTTCATCAGGCCAGGGCCACGGCCTGGGAGCTACTCGTCTCTCTGGCTCAGCATGCTGCCCGGGCCCCGCTATCCACCTGTCTGCCCCTTGGGCGCCCTGGGCTGGGGCCGCTCTGGGGAGCCAACAGGAGGGCCTGTGGGGAGTGTCCCTTCACTGAGTGAGTCCTCACAGCCAGGCCTAACCAGCCTTCTCCCAGGACCCTGACAGCCCTCGGCTGCCTCTCGCTCGGGCCACTGACTGCAGGGGGAACAGGGAAGCCCCCAGAGGCCCTCCTCATTGCCATCCAGCGAGCCCGACCCCTCAGTGTTAAATGGGCAGGGCTGGGTCTCTCACCCCAGGTGACAGACACTCATTCACCACCCCAGGCAGTAACAGAACCTGTTGACAGATTGAGCTGCTGACTGGCTGCTTCCAGGTCCCCAGGAAGAGTGTTCGCCATCACAGAGTCCACACTCCGGGGTGGAGACAGAGCTGGACTGTCAAGCTGGGCAGAGGGCGCCAGCGTGGACAGGGCCAGCCGGGGACATCGTCTGAGACCCCACAGAAGCCCTGGCTACCACCCACCCTCATGACACAGGACTGAGGGGGCAGGAGGGGTGACACGTGAGCCCTTCACAAGTGTTCTGTGGGGAGCCAGTCAGAGGGACATGGGGGGCTCCTGGGAGGAGCGGAGGGCAGTCTCCAGCAGGAGGCCCCCTCTATGGCTTTTCAGTTAATTCAAACAGTGGGAAGAAGGGGCACACCACACACACACAGGACACAGAGGTTACCGGGACACCAGACGCCAGGCGGACCCGGGGCGCGGCGCCCCGAGGGGTGGCTCTGCAGACGGAAGTGAGCAGGCAGGCAGGCCTCGGGCGCCGGAGTCCCGGGTCCTCCAGCATTTCCAGGTGCCAGAGCCAGACACTGACCCCCACCGGGACGGCCGATGGGGTGAGGCAGGGGTGGGGCTGGGGGACAAAGACTTTACAAGACATAAAATTGAAGGAGCAGCCTCAATAAGTTGTGTAAAATGGGGGGCTGGGGGCTCTCAGCATTGCCATGCGGCTATTTACAGAAAGTTATAGACATGCATCTTGATTAAACAAGATTCGGTTCATATGTGTATAGATAACTACCATCTTTTATATATAACTAAACGCACATGGAGGGCAGATGAGGCTCAAATGGCTTCAGAAGATTCTTGTTGTCGCTTAAAAAATAAAATATATTCATGTGTCTTCAAGTCACAGTGTCCCCTTCGTAATATTGCATCTCAAAAAACGGGTTAAGTAAAATCCTTGGTGACCCGTCCCTGGCCCCCTGGGACTGAGGGGAGAGGAGACAAGTGGTCACCGGGAGCCCTGCCAGACAGAACGCGGCCCCCAGTTAAACTTGAATTTCGGATAAACACGAGGTCGCTTCTCGTATGTCCCGCTGCTGCTCGGCCCCGCTTGAAATTTATTTGTCGTCTATCTGAAATTCAAATTTAACCGCGTCCAGGGTTTCTATTTGCCAAATCCAGCAAGCGTGTCACAGGGCCCTGGACCACCAGACTCTTGGGACCCCTCCCGTCTGGCTACTCGGGGCTCTGAGACAGGGTCCCCACCAGCCTGGGGTGGGAAGGAGCAGGGAGAGACAGGGCAGGGCAGGAGGGCAGTTCCTGGCTCACCCTCTTCCTGCCTTTGGGGGAGAGACACACTCAGGGACCAGCTCGCTCTACAAAAGGTTGGGTGAGACCAAGAATTAACCTAGGACTTTAGGGGAACATGGAGTCCCCTCAGTCCCCGGCCCCAGGGGGGCAGTGACAAGGAGCAGGTTTACCCAGAAGACTGCAGCAGTACGGCTCCTCTCGCTGGAGCCCTAGGCCAGCAAAACAACCCCAAACTGCTTCTGCAGGACCCCACGCAATGTTAGGTGTCCTGGGGAGAAACAAGATCAGGCTCTGAGGCTGGGCCCAGCCCCCAGCAGGGGATCGCAGGCCCCTCTCGCAGCACCAGCACTGCTCACTGCTGTCCGGGGCTGCCCCAGGCTCAGCCTCCACTTCCAAAGTCTAAACATTTGCCCATGGCTCTGGCAGTGTTCGTTTCCCTTCGGGGGCGATTATTCAAGGAGAAAGGAGAAGACAGCTTTCTGGACTGATCCCCATTTGGGGTGGGATCGGGTTCGGGTTTCCATCGTTTCGGTCCCTCTATCAGAAAACCAGCTCTGTCCTACTTTTCTCTCTGGATTAGACTCTGGGAGTGAAGGCCCAGAGGCTTCAGAATCCTTCACCAGTCAGACACCCTAACTTCCTACTCAGGGCTTGCACCCCAGCACCCTAACAGCCCCAGAAATAAAGCCACATGGCAGTGAGGGTTTGGAATGATGCTCTGTGCTTTGGGTAACAGCCAGTTTCAGGCGTGGAAGACATGCAAGCCCACGTGTGCGCCCCCGCCTCGTCTGTGGACCCCGGTGAACACCCTCTGCTTATCTGAGAGTCCCAGGACCAGCCGGAGCCTGGGGAGGGAGCGCAGGCCTCTTCTTGGCTCCACGTCGATGCTGAGAGACAACAGCCTCAGCAGCCTGGCCTCAACCCCAGGGCTGCTCGCTGGAGGTGGGCCAAGAGCAGGAAAATCCAGCCCCGTCTCCAGACCCCTGGACACCCAAATACCAAAGGTGCTTGCCTTTCTCTTCCCTTCCTATCAGGGGAGTGCAAACTGGGACTCGGGGAGGGGTGACTGAGGTTTATGGGCAGAAAAGAATATGGGATGGGGAAGGGCGAGAGTGCAGGAGATGCAATGAGATTGACGGGGGAGCTCCCATGACGTGGTGAGGAGAATGCGTGTGGGGAGACACCCTGAGAAAGCACCAAATCCCACAGCTCTGGGGATGGGAGAGGAGCCCAGCAGCTTCTGATGTCCACACCAAGGTATCCTACTCTGCATCGCCCAGATCCTGAAGGCCCCCTACTGTCCTGCGGCCATCTCCCATGATGACTCGGGCCCCAAGGGCCAAAGCCCACAATCCTTGCCCAAGCCCTACATTCTCATCATCAAGGACACACACGGACACACACACACACACACACACACACTGTCCAGTAAAAAAATAACTTCCCATGCACCAAGAGCCACTAGCAGGAAGGAGAGGGTCTCCGTGAGCCAGGCAGGGCTGAGCCCCGCCTCCCAGGCTGTTGCTCCAACCAAAAAAAAATGCCAAGATAAGAACAAAAAAGTCTCTCCTTTCTTTTAATAAAATAAAAAGACACTCTGCGCTGATTCTCCCCAAACCGTTCATGTGTCTCAGGTGCCGACAGGACGCTGAGATGGCCCAGTGGGGCAGGGCAGGAAGTGCTGCCATTTTGCTGAGAGAGAGAGAGAGATCCTAGCCTTCTGGGCAAGCCATGAGTACTTGTGAGTATTCTGAAGAAAGGCAAGGGCCTGAGGGCTCCACAGATGAAGAGAGAGGCTGGAAGATGGGCGAGAGGGGCCAAAGTGCGGGGTCCTGGCCTCTGGCCACGTGGGGGTTTGCTCTTGTTCAGGCCAAGGTTTGGAAGGGGACTCAGTGCAAACTTGACCAACATATATATGGCTTTTTATCAGTGCTGGAGACAAAAGGTGAATAGGGAATTTCTGGGCGAGGGTTAGAAACCCTGGCAGTATTTCCTCCATCACCCATGTGGAATGGATACCCTGCTTCTTGGAATTCATAGAGAGAAGCCTCCCTAATGAATGGTAGGATGGGGTCTCCCCGGGCCATGCCAGCTACCCATAAACCACCCAGCATACAGAGCAGAGGAGTGGGAGCTGGGGGGATCACCATGCTCCCATCTAGCTCACCCTGGGAAATCTCTGCTGTCGCCGTCCCTCCTCCACACGCCCTTCTTCCCTGGAACTCATGGGAACTAAGAACATTTGAACCTTCCCCTTGAAGTTCTCTGGCTCTATACAGATAGCACGTCTTCAGACAGTGTTGCGTCACTTAAAGGAGAACACAGAAGCGAAAGCACGAGGGGCAGCAGCTGTGACAGGCCGCACCACACTGCGTACATTCTGGAAAGGGAGAAAGCAACTGTGCTTTGGAAGGAGGCCATGATCCAGGGGGGTTGATTTTGGTTTTTCTGGGTAATAGAACTTTTATTTTTTCATCATTGGATATTAATTGTCAATAAGAATGAGGTCCTGGAACTGACAATCCCTGTCAGAGTCTGACCAATCTAACAAATAGTTCATTGCCACAAATGTCCTAGAAATCACATTTGTGGAGAAACCAAACAGGAGGAAGTCTATGATGGCATCAGGGATTTGGTCCTAGTTCTGGACAAGTCCATTCTCAGCATCTTGCCTTTCAAATAGCCACCCACAAGGAATACATGAGCTTCTGGCCCCTGACCAGGATTCTGTGCTCTCCACAAGCTGACAGAAGATCTCCACCTAGCCAGTGGGCTTCTAGGGTCCCCAAAGAACCTTCTCTTCCCTTACAACTTCCATGGCTCATCCCAGGAATACAGAGAGATGTACACACTCACACACACACACACACACACACACACACACACACACTCACACACCAGTGGCCACTGTGTTGCCTTCCCTGTCAGGAAATAGGAAGTGCTGCCATTTTGTTGGTCCAGAACACTCAAAAACAGGAAGTGCTGAGAATTTCTGCCAAAGGAGGGCCTCACTCAGGGTGAGGCTAAGTGAAGCTTTGAGAAGTGAGCGGGAAAACGTGACAGGGCATGCAGTAAGGCCAGCTCCCGGGCGATGAATAGAGCCAGGCTTCTCTCTAACTTTTAGGGGACTCTCCTCACACAGCCATCAGAGGGACATTGGTCTTTAAAAAGAGAAAAGGAAGGAAAAACAAGGACACGACCACAAACGAATGGAAAAGAAAACCTCTAAGGTTGCATAACTGAGGTATTGATAGCTCTGGATCTCATCAGTGTCCGTGAGGGTGCGGGTCCCAGCCGCCGCTGCCGCCGCCTACTTGTTCTTGCCGAGCAGCGCGTCCACCTCCTCCTCGGGCTTGAGCGAGTGCCACTGCGCGATGGGCCTCCGGGGGTTGGCCAGCATGTCAGACCAGTGCCGCAGCTCCGTGCCTGTGGCGTTGCTGCCCACAAAGATCTTGCCGATGGCCTCGTTCTTGCCCAGCTTGTCATAGTCCAGCACGGTGACCACCACCTGGACTTTCTGTGGGGGGACAAGGAGGGAGGGAGGCGGCAAGTGAAGATGGGGGGCCCCGTGATCGAACTTCTTCCCAAGATGAAGGTCAAACTCTACTTCCAAAGATGAGGAAGGAAAGGTCCCCTGGGGTTCCTTGCTTTCTCTGACTCCAACTAAGACGGAACGTGGAGGCAGAGGCCACACCTGCTGGAAGGAATCGTTTCTACCCAGTGGCATTGGCTGAGGGGGCACTAGGCTCCAGCACAGGCTGAGTGCTGGGGTTGGTGAGGGAGAGCGAGTAGGTGGGTTGTCCCTCTACCAAGAGTGGCAAACACATGCTGAGAAACTGACACAGAGTGACAGAGGTTATGCTAGAGAGGGAAGCGCAAGGTGCAGTGGGAACCCAGAGATCACAGCCCTGCTCAGTCAATCAGGAAAGGCTTCACAGAGGAGGTGGCACAGCCACTGAAGGAGAAAGCTAAGGATTTCTTCAGATGGAGAAAAAGAGAGAAGAGGATTCTGGGAGAGAAGATTAGCCAGAGTAGAGGCCCGGAGAGCACACCTGGGTGTGTGCCACAGAAGCTCAGAGTGTTAAGGTAAAGTGTGAAGAGATGAGGCAGGATATGGGGTCAGCCGAGGTAGGCTGGGGGCAGCTGAGGAGTTTGTATCTTACTGTTCAGGCACACAGCAGGGGGCCCTGAAGAGAGCCTGTGGGGGGGTATTTGAGAAAAACAACCTGGCAGGAAGGTGCGAGATCACTGGAGGAGACCAGGCCAGAAGGGAGAACCCAGCTGGAGGCCCTGTGGCCTGGGAGGGTGGATGCTGGACACCTGAACCCAGGCGGCTGTGGTGGCAGGGGAGGCGGGGCCGGACTGGGGAGGAGCTCTGGAGAGAGAATCAGGACAATCCGCGCCTCACCTGCCCTAGTCCCAGCCATGCAAGCTCAACCAGCCTCCCCCCCACCTCCCCCGGATCCTGTACTGCCCCCTCCCGACTGTGATTCCTTGACAGCAAAGACCAACTGCTGCACATTTGTTTCTCTAGCACCTAGCAAGTGCCTGCCACTTGGGAAACGCTCAGCAAAGACTGTTTGAGAACGGAAAGGGCCGGGCATCTGCCTTGGTGGCTGGTGGGGACATTTGTTGAAAACAGAATCTAAACAAGCCAGTTGGGCTGGGGGAGGTCTGTCGAGCTGGAGAAGCCCAGGCCGGGATGCTTCATGTCTGTGTAAGTTCTCAGCGCCTCACCTGTCGCCTGCTGGTCCCTGGAGACCATCACGATGACAGCGCCACCTCTGAGGCCTCTCTCCACACTCCTGCCCCCCACCCTCCTGGGGGACAGTGAGGACAAGGGACGGAGAAATGAAGATGCAAGAGAAGCCACCGCTCCGCAAGGCCAGAGGCCCAGGGAGGTGTCCTGTCTGCTTTGTTCAGATCCCGCTCGTGCCCAGTGTGGTGGCACCTCCAGCACTTAATCAATGGCAGGGGAGGTGGTAGGGGAGGAGGAGGGAGTAGAGAAGGGAAGGATGGAGGGAAAAGAGGAGAAAGGAGGGGGCCCCAGGGGTGGGTGGGAGCAGATCTAGGGGCAGCAGCAGGGGGAACGAGGATGGTCAAGATGCAGGAGGGGGAGGCCTCCCCACCTCCTCAGCAGGTCCAACCTCCGAGGCGCGTGTGCACAACACCTATCTCAAAATAGAATTGTCTCTGCACAGTTCATGCTCATCTCCTCAGAAAAGGGGAAAGCTCTGGAAGAAGCCCCCAGGAAGGTGGTCCCGGGGAAACACAGCTAGAGTCAGAGCCCCCCAACCCTCAGGGGCTTCTGTGACCTTCATGGAACACCTCTCCTTAGGCCCCACTTATGTTTGCCTCCCCCCATCCCCCTCTGCTAGAGCCCCCAAGGGCCGAGCACCTGAATCTGCTCGAAGGGGATCTCAAAGCTGAAGGACTCATTAAAGTACGGGTTCAGGGTCTTCTTCTTCACCGTCGTCTTCTTCTTCTTGAGCCGCTTGCCGTTCTGCATCAGGTGAATCTTCACGTAGGGGTCTGAGCGAGAGAACCCCAACTGAGAGCCCCCCTTAGCTTCTGCCATCCCCCCACCAGAGCACTGCCGAGCCCAGGCCCTTAGCAAGCCTGACCTCAGACATCAGAGTGAGCATCTTGGTCGGGCGGGAGGGTAGAGGGGGCAAAAAGCTCCCACCTACCCCCCAGGACCACCTCTGGCGGATCAGTTGTGACTGCCTGGAAAATTACATCAGGTCATTCTGAAGCCCTAGTGAGGCCTCGGTGAGAGGTCTTGCTGCTTGGACGCAGTAGGACAATGCTAGAGGCTCAGCACACATCAGCTACCCCAAACCAGCCCAGCCCTCCTGACCCTGCAGATGAGAAAGTGAGGCCCAGAGTATGGAAACAACCTGTCCAAGGTCACACAGCAGCTGAGTGACAGAGCTGGAGCTCTGGGTAGGCAGAGGCAGGATGCCGCCTGCCCACCAGCACCCTGGACTGTGGGCCAGTCCAACCCCAAGCACCCCAGCCTCTCCCGGACAGGTGTCCTGGCTTCTGGCCATGCACAGAACAGGCTCTGGGCCAAGTCCTGCCCACTCTCAGAAGTATCAAAATCCTGAGGCACCAACTCATCCAGGGGTTGGGACTTCTCTGATCCTGTCTTCCATGGCCCACGGGGCATGGCAGGGGAGCACAGGGAAGGCAGCTCGGAGCCGGTGCAGGGGGCCCTGGAGAAAGCATGGGTGGGGGCTGGAAAGCCAGACCCACAGCAACTCAGAGGCTCCCAAGTGCTCCTGGCCAGAACAGTGGCCAGGACGTTGCACTGAGGGCTTTGGGCTCTGACTGGCTCGCTGGTGCCACCCACTGGCAGCCAGAAGCCCTGCACATACCTGAAAGGCCGCCCACGTCCATCTTCTTGAGGTTCTTGGCCTCCAGGATGCACACGGTGAGCTTCCCGGCCGTGGGCACATAGCGCAGTGACGTGCAGATGTCGCCCAGCTTCTCTGGCTGTCAGGGGGAGGTAGGGGTTGGGGTCATCTCTGTGGTCCCACTGCCTCTAGCAAGTCTGACCCTCCCTTGTTGAGACCAGCAAGGAAGCGGCATGTCCCTCCCTCCGTCCCCAGTCCCCACTCTGTGATGGATGAGGTTGTCTGGCACTTGACTTGGGCCTCCTGGTGCAGTGCACCAAAGCCCCTGACGGCGACTGGCTGGCACCGAGGAGCTGTGACCTTAGGAGGCTGGTCTGTGAGGGGCACAGAGGACAGGCTCGGGTGGGAGGTGGGTGATCCTGGGAGGATCTGGCAGCTGTGGGAAGGCTCCGACCCAGGTGGAGGGGCGGGGGGGGGGAAGGAGAGTGGGAGAGTGGGCATTGGACCGCGGGGTCATTTCTAAGGGCACTGGAGACAGATTCGGGGGAGCCCTCCCCGGCCTAGGCAGCCCCCAGCTCACTCCATCATCCACCCATGGGCACAGCAATTTGTGTTTGCAAAGTGCTCTGTGTGCCTTTTCTTATGTCACCGTCACTGCAACTCTTCCATGAAGACAGGGCAAGACTCTTTGTGACCAATGAGATACTCAGGTTCAAGACACTTTAGCAGTGCGGGCCACAGGGTGAAAACCAGAGTTCCTGACTCCAAAGTTCTCTCGCCAGACCTGAGTGAGGCTTCCCGGGCCAGACTGCTTTGGCCAAGGCGGCCACCTTCCCAGGCCCCGGCCAGCCTGAGTCCCGAGGAGGGCAGGGTGTCTGAAGCATCTTCTCTTGTCCCTCGGGCCCAACTCGGCACCCACACCACAGGGCCTTGACTGAGACGTGACTGATGCTTGGGAGACACAGGGGCTAAAATGGGCCTATCGGTACAAGGCCAGTGCTCTGTAAGCATCTGGTCTGTGAGTAAATGCTGTGGCAGGTGCTGGGAGGACAAGCTCACATGCTAAGACTCCTTTACAGCAAATATGTGCTTCCCTTGTGGGTAAACTGAGGCAGAGTCCTAAATCACTGGCCCTGACTTGGGAGTAGGCTGAGGAATAACAACTCCAATCGCATTCTCCTTCATTTGAGCATCTGCCAGATGCCAGACACCCCCCAGACGCCACATACTACACATGCATGGCTAATCCTCACTGTAGAGGGACGAACAAGAACTCAGGCAGAAAGATGAAAGTCGCCGTGTGCCCAGTGTCACGCAGCCAGAAGTGGGGAGCAGGGATCTGCCCCGGCCACCCCCTCCTAGGGGCCGGAAGACCACAGCCCGAGAGCAGCTGGCAGCCTGGTCTCCACCTCACCTCTTCCTTCTCCCCGCCCTGCAGGTCTCGCCACTCCTCGATGGGCTGCCCGAGGTCCACGGTGTTCATGGGCACCTTCACCTCTCCGATGATGTCATGTTTGGAGAAGCGATCAAAGTCATAGATGGCCATCACCAGGGTCTTGCCCCCCAGCTCCTGGTATGGCACCTGCAGGACAGCGGCAGGGTCAGAGAGTGTCCGATCAGAGAGGGGATGCTGTGGGCAGGGTCCTGGGCTGCAGGACCCACCCAGGAGGAGCCTCTGGGGGCAGAGAGAGGGCAGAGCATGGGGAGGCTGGGAGGGTCTGACCCTAGGTCCCGCCTGGTGCTGTTCCAGACTGAGCTGGTTCCGGGCAAGGGTTTTCTCCCAGCCACTCCCAGAACAGCTGTGGGGAGGCGAAGCACACAGGGCTTCTGTAAACTCAGAAGGAGAAACTTGGGTGTACGGGGGACATATCCAAGCTGACCAGGCCTGGGGAGGTCTGCAGGGTGCAGGTGGGCTGGGCTGGGGTCAGGCAGCATCCTTCCAGTGCGCCTCACCTTGAAGGTAAACGTTTCATTGAAAGCGGGGTTCAGTGTCTTCCGATGGACTTTGGTCTCATATTTCTTCTTCTTGTCTGGAAGGAGGAAGACTTTGACATAAGGGTCTGAGGTGCCGCCCATGTCCAGGGCAGGCAGTTCCGCGGCCTGCAGAACGCCCACGGTGAGCTGTGGAGAGAACAAGGCAGGGATCTGAGTTTTGGGGCTGTGCCAACCCCAAACCCCAGACCCAGCACCCCCCTGGAGGGCAGCTGGGAGGTGGGGGGCAGGTTGGTGCTACAGAGGGAGGTTGGTCTCCACCTCCACGAAACGGAATGACACGGGGAAATGGAAGTTAGGGGGGCAGTTGGTCTGCCCAAGTTGGTGGGCAGAAACCAGCCAGGCTCAGGGAGCCTCACTAGAGCAGGCTGGCGGCCAGGCCAGAGTCGACGCGCAGAGCACATGTCCTGGGCTTTCTGACCTGCTCACGCTGTAGGAGGGAGCAATGCCCACAGGTGTCTGGCTGGGGGTTGGGGGGTGGGGGTTTCTGGGGGTTTCTATCCCTTCCATCTCTCAGCTATTTCCACCCACTCCCAGCCCTCCCCCTGTTCTCCATTGGGCCCCACAGCCCAGCCCCACACACCTGGTTGGCCTGAAAGTCGTAATCCAGGGAAAACTGCAATTTGCCCAGGTTCTCGGGCTCTTTCTCCTCCTCACCTTCACCTTCCCCCTCCGTCAGGCCTGTCTCTGCGTCGTCATCATCCTGTGGGAGCCTGGGAAATGAGGAACTAGTTAAAAGGGGCCACAAGAGAAGCCCCTGGCTTGGTGCAGGGCAACAGGTAGCGGGGTGGGGCCTGGGGCAGGGGCTGTGGCACTGACTAGGGTACAGCCTGTGAGAGCCCCAGTCAGCAGCACCAGACCCTCAGTCCTGTGTGAGGAAGACACGGTTCCTCTCTCGAGGTTGCATCACTCTGTGGTCAGCACCAGCTACCTGCCCGCAGCTTCCTGAGGCTGGGGGTGGGTTGCTTCCCTTGTTAGCCCCTCCCCAGTACTTCCACACCCACCCTGGGCAAGACGTACCAGGAGTGCAGTCCAGGTATTCAGGAGCAGGTGAGTCCACAGAGGTGGGAAGAGAAGGAAGAAAATTATGTAAGAGAGTCCTGCCACTCAAACCAGCCCTGAATTCCAACCCTTGTGTGAGACCAAGATGGGCGCTACCCAATGGGCTATACTCAGGATGGGCTGTACTCAGATGGGCTCTACCCCTGCCCTCTCCCCCACACACTAGGGCTCCTCTGGAACCACATACATGCGCACACATGCACACACTCTCAAAGGCCACTTCCAGCCCTGGTTAACTTAAGACCAGGCCCTTCCTTCCATCCTCCATATTGATTGCTTGAGCAAGAGATTTTCCCGGTTGCTCCCAGAACAAATGTGGGGAAAGGCGGAGCACAAGGGCTTCGGCAAACTTAAAAGGAGAAAGTTGGGTGTATAGGGCCCTTATCCAGACTGACCAACCCCAAGGACAAGGGTAGATAAAGTATTATGTAACCAGAGATGGACTCCTCTTGGCCCCGGTGCTTCAGGAACATTCTTTCTCATTTGATTCCCCACCCCACCCCCAGTTAGATGCAGCCGATGAAAAATAATTCTTCAGTCCTTCTGGCAGAAAAACCCAAGGCCACTCAAATGATGTCTTTCTAGTGGATGGGAGTCTCTGTTCCCAGCACTTTGTCCCAGCAGCCTCCATGGAAGTTGATAGATTATTTCCCCCTGTCTTTTCAAGAGTGAATCCTTGCTCACACATGGGTAAGCCCCACTTCCCCATAGCTGGTGGGGAGATGCTACTAGGCTAGAGATGTGGCCAACATGGAGGGCCATGTGGAGTTTTAAGGAAGGAAGCCGATCTGGCCATAGAACAGAAGCCTTTGCCTCACCTTTCTCCTTTCAGCCAAGGAAGGCCCGGGTGCACCCCTCTCAGCTCCTCCCACCCCCGTGCTGTCCTACCTGACCCCCTTTCATGTCCTTCATGTTCATGGCATTCTTCATGCCTTTGCCCTTCTCCTTCTTGTTCTTCTTCTTCTTGCAACAGCACTTCTTGCAGATGCAGAAGCAGCAGGTCAGGATCAGGAGGCCAGCGACCACAGCGATGGCGATCAGCGCCCAGGGTGGCACTGCCCACACAGAGAAGACCCCTGGAGTCAGCAGTGCTGAGCCCTGCAGCACCTGACCCCACAACTTGAGCAAAAAAAGGGCCATGACTATGACTCCCTTCATGTCCACGTCCCACAATTTTTTAACCATATACCCATGAGTGGTTTGCATGCATAATGCTTTCTCATGAATACTTGTGCTTTTCGTGGCCTATTGCCTCGTGGATACAGCCTGCTAAGTGAGAGATAGCAACCAGGTGTATATAAAGGCGAACATCAGTTTTACTCTATTAAAACTGACAAGTTTGGGGCCTCCCTGGTGGCACAAGGGGTTAAGTTTCAACACTATGGAGCTATCTGCAGCCACTGTGGCATGAATTCAATCTCTGGCCAGGGAGGTGACCCACAGGGCACAGCAGACCTCTCCTGTCTCACCTGCTGCTCCCCTCAGCAGTGTATTTCAGTTGATCCGCCTGTTCTGCTCCCCACTCTGTCTTTGGTGAATATTCTCACCCCCCCCCCCGCACCTCTGGCCTACAACCCAGCTCTTGTATGCATAAAAAAAATAACATAAATCTTTAAAAACAAAAACAAAAACAACCGGTTTGATCTATGGAGAACCACTGTGGAGAGGATGGGATGGATCTTATCAGATCCAGCTGTGCAGGAAGAGCCCTGTGACCACGCTCCTTGCCGAGTCTTGACAGGGCTGACCCAGAGCCAGGAAGGCCAAGCTCCTCAAGGCTTTACAAGTCTGGACGTGGCATAATGCAAGGGTTTGGTGATGGACCTGGATGCTCTCCGTGGTCCTGAATAACCACCACTTGCTGAGGATCCCCCCTTAGACTGGGCGTCTTCACCAGGGATTCAGAAAGCAGTGGGAGATTTTATTGTCTATCTTCCAAAATAAGTTCGGTCAAAGTGTGAGTGGAAAACATGATGTTGGATTCTGCTTCATAATTTTTCATCATCTTTTGACAGTTTTCCAAGTTTTCCAACTTTCCCCTGGAAATCAAGGCATGTAACTCCCCCGTTCCCTTCATTAGTGCTGGACCACATTCCCCTGCCCATTCCTGAAAGGGGTCCCCAAACAATCCAGCCTGAAATCCAGGCATTAGGAAAGCTCTGGGGCGCACCTCCCAGGGGTGCCATTCCTTTCCTCTCACCTGCTCTGCCACCCCAGGCCCTTCTCTGACTCTGACCAGACCCCACCCTCCCGGCCACCAGGGACACTCACAGGGGATCTTGTTGATCTCATTGAAGAATTTCTCCTTCAGTTGAGCAAACATGTCCTCCTTGCTCTCCCCACCACCCCCACTCTCCGTGGAGTTGTCTACGGGCCCGACAGGCATGGTGGCAGTGGTGCTGGCAGGAGCCACAATGGGCTCCTGGTTCCTCTTGAAGATGTTCCTCATGGTGGCAGAGGGCTTGGCTGCAGATGAGAGAAACGGGTGAACACCTCGGAAGTCCAAGTGCAGAAAACTCTGCCCAAATAGCCTGGAGGAAAAAAGCTAAAGACTATTTATAGTAACCCATTTATTATTAAAATATTAACATAACATTAACAACTGTGGTTAAAGGAAAACAGTAACAGCCATCATTACATTAGTACACACAGTCAGGCACTGTGCAAAGTATTCTTCGTGACTGATCTCATTATTTCCAATGAAATATTAGTTCCAATAACTGATCTCATTTATTCCAAGCAATAGCCTCATGTATGATTATTATTCCATTGTTACAAATGCAGAAGCAGGTTTAGAGGTTTGCCCAGGTCACTTCGCAAATCAGTTTTGAACCTGTCGGCCTGACTCCAGAGCCTATAAACTCAATTTCTTTCATGCATCTCATTTAAATTCAACTGACCACACAACTCTAGGTTTTCCCAGTTAGGACACTTTCTCAAGTCTCTCTGCTCCTTAACTTCCAGAACACTGCTCTGCCTACATTCTCTGCCTGCCCCTTACCACTCCAGCCTGCTCTCTTCTCACTGCCTCCAGCTCCTCCCCTGGCTCCCTAAGGCGTCTCCTATACCCTCTTCTCTTTCTTTACCAGCCCCCCCCCAACTCAGGGTTTGTTTCGATCTTTCCTCTAGGAAGAGGCACCCCAGGTCTACAGCCTAGTCCCTTTTCCCCCAGTCCTCAGTGTAGAATTTCTACCCTCTATGCTGGGGTCACCCCCAGCCCAGCGCCCTCAATATGCTGCACATCAGCTCTCCTAAATCAAACAACTGGTATCCATTAATAACAAAAGCAATCCAAGGTTATTGTAGAAAATTTGGGGGTGGGAAGAGAGATTGCGAGAGAAATTCCCCATCGTTCTACCATCCAGAGATAACTCAGGCCAGTGTTGGGGGCACCTTATGACAATATTTTTTCCTGAGCCCATACAATCCACCTTTTGGTGTTCTGTTTTTTTAAATATGAAATTATACCATAAATTTTTTTTGTTTAACATTAAAAAAACCCCTTTATTATTAGATAGCTAAATAATACCCCACTAATGGCAGTAATATATTTAACTATTCCATTATTAGACATTTAGCTGGTTTCAATTTTTTGCTAGCAAAAATATCACTGTGCTAAGTCTTCACTTAAAACAATGTTCTCAAACTCTGCTCCCCCCCTTTCCTCTCCACAGAGGCATTTCTGCTTCTCGAAGTGGGGGTACATGACCCCTCCAAGAGTCCCATAAGGACAGACCTGGGTTGGCATCGGCCTCCCCCGTCCCCCAGTGCCAAGCACACAGTGGGCACCAGGCGGTATTTGTTCATAACAATAGTGAGTGCTGCCAGCCCATCGCCAGAGAATCAGCTTTTCTTAAGGACAATCTCTGTTTGTTTTATTAACAAGAGGAAATAACATAGAGAAGGATACAAGCAGCTCAAGAATTTTCAAGGTAAATTTTCAAGGACACACGTCCCTATTGTGTGTCAGGGATGAGTTAACTCTGCTACTCTCAGGGCCCTGTGCAGAGAAAATTTTAGGGGCTCTGAAGTTCCACCTCTTCCTTTTAGGACCTGAGTCTTCACCCCTCCATCCACCCACATGAGATTGTTCTAGTCCCCAAGGGTGGCTGGAGACCATCACATGGATGCAGGTGCACATTCACTTACTCACTCAAACTCCCCATGCATTTAAGTTCTTATTATACACCAGGTTACAACAGCCTTGATCCTAAAACTTGTCCTGAAATGAAAAATGAAGATTTGGGGCTCCCTGGTGGTGCAAGGGGTTGAAACACAGCACCTCAAAGCTATTCACAGCCACTGCAGCAGGAGTTCAATCCCCTGCCAGGGAGGTGACCCACATGGTGCAGCAGACCTCTCCTGTCTCACCCTCTGCTCCTCTGAGCAGTGTATTTCGGTCAGGCTACCTGTTCTGCTCCCCACTCTGCCACTGGTGAGTCCTCTCACCCTGCCCCCCACACCTCTGGTCTGTATCCCATTTCTTGTATGCATAAATAAATATGTCTTTAAAAAATAATTGAAGATTCCCTGGAAGTTCCCTCTGGGTGCCGACAGTTACTCTGGCTTGATGAGAACTACAAGCAACCACTTCGGGAGACAAGGATGTCCAGGCCCCTCTGACACCACCATCTCCCCTTACTCCCACCACACAGTCCAGGGTCCCTGTGGCCTTTCTTTAAAATAGTTTTATTGAGATATAATTCACATGCCATAAAATCCAGCCATGTTGAGCACAGTTCAGTGGGTTTTTTAGTATGTTTACAAAGTTGTACAACCATTACCACAATCTAATTTTAAAATATTTTCACCTCCCCAAAAGAAACTCCTTGCCCTTTATAATTCTCCATTCCCATTCTCCTCCTAGCCATAAGCAACCACTAATCTACTTGATGTCTCTACAGAGTTCCTGATTCTGGGCCTTTAATACAAATGTGTCTACGTTCTTTCACTCAGCACAATGTTTTCAAGATTGATCCATGTTGTGGCATATGTCAGCACTGCCTTTTATTGCCCAATAATGTTCCATTATAGAACTAGCACATTTTATTTATCCATCTATCCAACTTATGGACATTTGGGTTATTCCACTTTTTGAATAATGCTGCTATGTACCTCCATGTGTCTAGGCCTCTGTTTTCATTTCTCTTGGGTGAATTCCTAGGAGAGGAATTGCTGGGTCATATGGTAACTGTGTTTGACATTTTAAGGAGCTACCAAACTAATATCTTCCAAACCAGCTGCACCAATTTATGTTCCCACTCACAATATATAAGAGGGTTCCAACTTCTCCATGTCCTGGACAATATTTGTTGCTATGTCTTTTTGTTTGTAGCTATCCCAGTGATGGTGAAGTGGCATCTCCTTATGGTTGTCGCTGTCCTTTCCCTCATAACTAAAGAGGTTGAGCAACATCCCATGTGTTTATTATTGGTTTGCCTAGATTCTTTAGAGAAATGCCTATTCAAATCTGTTGCCTATTTTTATTTTTTTTAATAATAGATTTTATTTTTATATTCCCCACACAATTGCAACCCCCCCATTCTGACCCCAATCCCTCCCCTCCCGCCCCCCAACCCCCAAAAGTGTCTCTGGTTCATAGTTTTTTGTTGATTTTGATTTTCACTTTCTTATGGTTATTCATTTTCCTGGTCCCTTATTTAAGTTTTCTCTGTTGCCTATTTTTAAATTAGTTATCTGTTTTCATTGAGTTCTAAGAACTCTTTATATATTCTGGATCCCAGTCCTTTTTAGATATATGCTTTGCAACATTCTACGTCTTCATTTTTTGGATGATGTCCTTTGAAGCACAAAAGTATTCAATTTTGAGGATATTCAATTTGTCTTTTATTGCTTGTGCTTTGGTGTTGTGCTAAGAAGCTTGCTCATAACCCAAGAGCACAAATATTTACTGCTATGCTTTCTGACAGATGTTTTATAATTTTAGCTCTACATTCAGGTCTATAGCTCACTTTGAATAATTTTTGTGTATGGTATAAAGGAGGGATTCAAATTCATTTTTATGTGAATGTGTGGAGATCCATTTGACCATTCTTTCTCCACTGATTTGTTGTAGTAAAATATTGACTACCTACAAATCTGAAGGTTTAAATCTTGATTCTCTATAGCATTGATCTGCAAGTCTAGCCTAATGCCACTACTACACTGTTTTGATTACTGTAGCTTTTTAGGTAGTTTTGAAATCAAACAATGTTAGCTATTTTAATAAGATAATTAATGATGATTTTATTAATTGAATTAATGTTATTAAAATTGGTTTGGTTATTCTAGGTCATTTGTATTTCCACATGAATTTTAACTTCAGCTTATTTGTTCCTCAAAAAAAGTCAGCTGGGATTTTGATAGGGATTGCACTGAACCTGTAAATCAATTTCAACAATATTAAGTCCTCCACTGTCTCCCCATTTATTTAGATCTTTAATTTCTTTCAACATTGTTTTGCAGTTCTCAGCATACAGTCTTATACTTCTGTTAAATTTATTCCTAAGTATTTTATTCTTTTAGATGCTGTTGTAAACGGAATTGTCTTCTTAATTTCACTTTCAGATTGTTTATTGCTAGTGTAAACAAATACAAGAGATTTGTATGTCTTTATCTTTCATCCTCCACATTGCTGAACTTGTTTTTTAGCTCTAATGGGGTGCGTGGCTCCTTCGGATTTTCTCTATTATGGGGTCATGGAAATGGAGACCATCTCACGCCTTTCTCTCCATGCCGAATGTGCCTTTCCTTCTTTTTCTTCTTTAATTGCCCTGGCAAAGGCCTCCAATACATTACCAAGTAGAAGCAGTGAAGGTGGCAATTCTTATCTTTTTCTGGATCTTGGGGAAACTCTTTCAGTCTTTCCCCATTAAGTACAATATTAGCTGTGTGCTTTTTATAGATGCCATTATCAGATGCAGCCCCGTGATCCTCCCTTCCAACCATGGCCCTGGCTTGGCAGTCCTGCCCCCAGCTCTGCACGCAGCTCCCACCACCTCCCAATTCCACGTTTGGCTCCTGCAGTGCCCCGCCCCCACCCTCCCTGCAGTGGGGGAGGCAGCACAGCCTGGGGAGAGGCTGACTGTGGCTCCCAGGCAAGCCACCGCTTTCCAGAGGATTCCAAACAGATCTCTTTCTGAAACTTGATTTCCTCATATAAAAACTGTAGAAAATCATACCTACTTTTCAAAACCATCGTGAAAATTAAAAGAATAAATTCAATTGTGTCTGGCACACAGATGACATTCAATTATGTGGGTCAGATCTGAATGTGAGAGGGGTTTATTAAGCCCCTTCTAAGAGGCCTGGAAGTGGCATAAGCACAATAGAGGGGCCCAAGAGCCCTGCTAAAGGGGGACCTTCTCTTAAGAGCTGAGGACCCAAAGACCGCCGGGTGAGTGACCAACCAGGAGGGACAGCGCTGTGTGCTCCCGAGGCGGAGGGAACCTTAAGAGCAGGGTAGC